AGAGCAGAGCCACTTTTTGCGTTAACACATATAGGAGATTTGGGACAAAGTAGGTGTACAACCTTAGATATCTGTCCATTATGAATCTCATCTTGTACATCCAAACTAACAACTCCATTCCTCGTAGTTTATGATTTGCATTGTATCAAACTTATTAGACCCTTAATTTAAAAGCTTGAAGTTGTGCTTGATAAAAGGAATCATCTTGATGATCAATAATTAACTGCTTGCAATTCCAAAATTCCAAAACGACATGTCACTGATAACATAACCGTGGATTGGAGGGAGACAAGCATACAAATGCCAACGCAGTAACAGTGTTTTTTCAATGGTAATGATATAACACTCAATGACTGTCATGCTTCAATCGGATTATTTTAGGGAGGCAAGCGTCATTATTAGCGAATTGATCAGTTTGATTCAACCCTATCGATGATTACGTAACTGTAACAAAAGAGTTCCATCACTTTGCCAACAATGCTCTGTTATGCCATATTAACGGTTATTTTGTTACTTGCTGGTGAGTTTTTTGAATTGCTCTGACTTACTTTCATGATACGCATACCGTTACAAAAATGTGTGCAAGGACTTGAGAAAACTGCTGCACAAGGAACAGCACAAAACAGTCAAGCAAAACCCAGTGCCGCTCAAAAGAATGTGGGCCCCCCTCCAGCAAAACCGAACACTGTTAAAGCTGAAGCCAGCAACGTTCAAGCCAAAGTCAACACTGTGCAAAGGCGCCAGTTTGCGGCAAAAGATGAAATTCACGACACGGAGTAAGCGATAAATTACCTATACCTATATCTATCTACGTTGCTCAACGTCTTCCAATGTTTAGACATCTGAAGGAACATTTGAAAGACAAGATAAATGTCGAACAAATGACTGAAGAGCAGCAACGGCAAGTAGTGCACTATTGGTTTTATTTTGCAGAAAAATGTTTGAATTTTGAGTTTCCCATTTTCCTACTTTTCGTCCATTTTACTGCTCTGGGCTTAATAGAAAAGAGATTTACTTGTTACTAGCTTTGTTTTTTGGACTTTTGCTGGACAGAAAAAAATGTTCGCGGGGGAAGTGTGTTATTATAATCATGGCAAGATTTTCACTGCGGTACTCGTTCATTATTTGTCGGTTAATCTTTCGGAGAAAGGCAGTTGGTAAGATAACGAAGACCC